GGCTGAGCCACCCGCCCCGCAGCCCGGCCCCCGCCTGTCCCGTGGGGAACTCGGGACCTCGGGCGCCCGGGATGCAGGGCATTTGTGGGCCCGGGTCAGAGATGTCCCTGGCAGGCTCTGAGAAGGCTCAGGTGTCACTTCTGAGAAGCCATTGTGTCCCTACCCAGCCAGGGGGCGGAGACCGAGAGACTGGGTGGGCGTGGCTTTAAGCCCCACTGCTTTGGGACCTGTTGGGAGAGCTGGGGGAGGACCCCAGAGGCTCATAAGCCAGTGGGGCTCCTTCGGGAAAGCAAGCTAAAGAAGCACAGAGTGCCCTCAACCTGCCAGGAGAGGAGCCAGAGGCTGCTCACATCCCCGTGTGAGCGCATCCTGCCCGTCTACCTGCAGGTGTTCAGGCCCAGGCTGGCTGCCCTGCACTGACTTGGGTCCCTGAGCCTGCATGTTTCAAGACTGTGCAGAGTTGAGTGTGCCTGGGTGGCAGGATCTGTCTGTCCATTTGTGGAGGCAGGGAGAAGTCTGTGCCCTGCTGATGCCCTTGTGTGTGTGCTGAATGTGTGACCAAGGGCAGCATGTTTCTGTGCACGCTGGAGCAGGAGGTGGGCATCTCACGGGATCCTAACGTGAGCCACCCTGTGTGTGTGTACACGTGTGTATGTTCAGGCACGCCTTCCATGATCAGGGTGGACTGGCCTCACCTGACCCCTGCTTGCCTCCAGGAAGGCTGGAGCTGAGGGACGGGGTTCAGAAACAGCAGCTTCCATAGCCAGTGCCAGGAGCGAGATGCCCAGTAGCAGCCCATGCCTGGTCCCAGCAGCCTAAAACCTGGCCAGGAGCCCTCTGGGGTCCAGCCCAGCCTGTCCTCTTGGCTCTCTCTGGATGGGACATGACTTTGCATACCCTGCCCCTGCCCCATGGGTCCTGGGTGTTGGGGAGCTGTTTGTCCATGTCGTCTCCTGGCTGTGCAGAAGGTTTTCAGATGCTGCCCCTCCAGATGCTGCTGGGGTCTCCTTGGCTGCCTGTCCCCTCACAGCAGCAGTGTGATACCCTTACAGCCCAGGTCCCATTTCCAGCATTAGTGAGTTCCTGCATCTCTGGCTGGCTTGTTGAGGTCAGCCTGCTGCCCCTCCCTGACAAGTGGGCTGGGATGCAGGTCTTCTGGAGCCACCTCAGGGCTCCGGGGACTGCTGGGTTCCTGTGATTTTGGGTTGCTCAGACTGTCCCCCTGCCCTCTAAATCCTATCCTTCCCAGTTTCTGTTCCCAAAGGTATCCCAGCTCCTGCCATAGAGTAACAGTCACAGCCACAGGAAGGGTCTCTGAGCTGTGAAAGGAAGAGGGGCAAGCAGAAGCTTCCAGGTTAGTTCCTAGGCGGTACAGGTCCTAGCCCAGGTGTGAAGCACACATCTGCCTGTGCGGGTTCTGATCCAAGGCATGGGAGCCCTGGAAATAACCCTGTCTGGGGAGCCCTTTAAGGGCTCACCTTGTGGCCTTGCACTGTCTTGGGAAGGAAGGAGGACAGGACAGGGGCAGGGGCTTGGACAGGGCATGCAGGGGCTGCACAACATTGCTGGGGACTCCTGCGGCAGGTAGGAGCCTCCAGCATGGGGACCTGGCAGCCCCTGTTTTGTTTTCAGGAGGATGAAGTAACTGACTGTTGTGGCTGCAGTGCAGGGGTGTGTGCATGCGTGCGTGCGTGTCTGTCTGTCCCCACTCAGTGAGATGGGATGGGCCAGTGCCCACTGCGACAGCTGCCCCTGCATGGGCCCCACCCGCATCCACCCCTGCTCAGGCCTGAGGCCTGGGGGTGCGCGTGAGAATGCTGGTGGCAGCCAGGAATGTTAATGGGGCCAGGCTCTGCGTGAGCTAAATTTAGAAACCCAAACCAGAAAGGTGAACAGTGCTCACCTTCCCAGCCGCAGGCCCAGTTGCCACTGTGCTCTGGCCCCTCCTGCAGACCACCTGCCCGCCCATTCTGGGGCATGGGGTGGAGGGTGTCCAAAGCCCAGTCTGTCCCCCACCAGGTGCCAGGATTTCTCCAGCCTGGAGTTCAAGGGCACACAGGGAGGCCAGGACAGTGCAGGATACGGCCCCAAGCAGGAGGAGGAACCTGGCCTTCCCCTGCCTCCACTGCCAACGTCATTGCTATTGGTCACTGCCAGCCCTGCCCGCAGGCTACCACCCCCACCATCTGGGAGTAGTGACGTGGCCGGTGTGAGGTGACCAGGCACCTGAGAGCCGTGTGTCCATGGCAGAGGGAACTGTTTCTGGGCACCAGGCCAGAGGCCTGGAGGCAGCAGACGGGCTGGGCCTGACCCCTGGGGCCGGTGCCAGGTGGGTGTCGTGGGTGGCAGGCGTGTCCTGGAGCCACCTGGGCCTGGCCCCCCACAGCAGTGACACCATCACTCCTGGGCTCCAGACCTCACTGCCTCCTCCCTTTCCCTGGAGCCCCTGTTCTGTGAACCCCAGCAGTGACCCCGTGCCTTCTCTGCAGGGCAAACGCTACAAGAACTCTCTGGAGACTGTGGGCACACCGGACTCGGGGCGCGGGCGAAGTGAGAAGAAGGCCATCAAGTAGGTGCCAGCTGCTAGTTTGGGGGTGCACATCAGCCCAAGTGGGAGGAGCCCTTTCTGCCCCCTCGTCCTTGGGCCTGGCCATACATGTACACGGCCCCTGAACTCCAGGCCACAGGGTCTGCCCACCCTCCAGACTGCAGCACTTTTGGGTACCCCAGGGCCCCCTCTTCTTCCCAAGCCTTCTAGACCAGCACTGTAGCAGTGCCTGTGCCCTGCCTCAGTCCAGTTGCTGTCCCTCCACCCAACCCAGCCCCAGGGAGCCCTGGGACCCTCAGGCCCCTTCCTAGACCCTGCTTCTGGGCTGGGAGCCCCCTCCTCACAGGCTTGGGTTCTGAGGTGCAGAAGGGGGACTGAGAGCCCTGGAGCCCCAGCTGCCCCATACTGAGCTCCTCTGTCCCTGCCCCCTGCCTGCCTGGGGTCCGTGCTGAGCCTGGAGAGCCCTCATTACCATGCACAGCAGGTCCACCTCCTATGCTGGCCCCTGGCTAGCCCCTGCCGAGTCAGTCCCACTGGAAAACCCGGGAGAGGTCCTGCCTGCCTGGCTGTGGTGGGCTCTGTGCCCCTGGCCCAGGGCGTGGCCCTACCCTCCATCTTAGCCAGACCCTCCTGCCACCCCAGGCCTGCTGCTCTCCTCTGCCCCTACCTTGCACCGCCGCCCTGTGAAGCTCTCCCCACCCCTCCACCCTCCTCTGCCCTCACCTCCTCCTCCACCTCCTGCTCCAACCCCGTTTGGAGCTGCTCTGTATGTATGTCCAGGGCTGGGTGAGGGAAGGGTGGGGGGAGGCTTCTGGAGCCTTTAGAGCTGTGTCTGGCTGCCACTCTCAGTCTTCAGAGTGGAGTCTCAGGGGCTGGTGCCTGCTGAGCACAGACCCAGCTTCTGGAGGTAGAAGGGCCACGTGAGCAGAGCCATGGGCCAGGGTAAGGGCTGACTTTACTGGGGACCAGGGGTGTGTGTGGCAGGGCCCTGATTCCCAACCTAGGGGAGGTGGGGCCTCAGGGCAGTCCGTGGGCTCTGCTGAGCTGGGATTGGTACCCACAAGGGGTCTCTAAGACCGAGAAGGACAGGGTCCCACAGTCCAGCCCGAGTCTGCCACGTCCCTGCTCCAGGGAAAGCAGCCACTGCACTGCTCCCAGGCCTGCATGGCCCAGCTCGGTCCTTTCAGCCAGGGCCCAGGCTTGCCACACTCTGCGGCAGTGACTCCTGAGCTGCGATTCTCGGAGCACATGGCCCCACTGTGCCACTCCAAGGTTCCAAGCCAAGCAAGTTTGGGAAGCTCTGCATGCTTTGCCTCCCTTCTGGCAATTCTGACAGTTGTTGGCACATCACAGGCCCCAGGGACCCTGCAGCAAAGGCATCTTGCTGTCCTCTAGTACGCAGAGGAGGCAAAGGGCGGGAGCCCAGTGGGTGGGTCCTTCTCCAGGACCAGGGCGGACCGCCTGGGCCTCCACTGTGGACATCTGAGAGTGCGGTACGGGGACCACCTGCTCTTCCCAGTCCCACCCCATGCACAGCGGTGCCTCTGTCAGGGGAAGGGTCTTTGCCCTGGGCCCTCCCTTCCTCCTCACCCTGCCCACCATGAGCTGGACAGTTCCAGGGTGTGCCTTGCCCCTAGGGGAGAACCAGGCTACCTTTGCTCTGGGCCACAGTGGCAGCTCCACCTCTGCTGGCTCTCTCTCCTCGGTTCCTGCATCTGACATTAGAACCAGAGTCAGGATCAAACTCCTGCGGAAAGAAGCACGTTCCCCAAGATGGTGTTTGCAGCATGCACAGGGATCCCAGTGCCTGTCCCGGTCGTGCCCATCTTAGCCCACACCAGGCCTGTCCCCCAGTCCCCACAGCTCCCTCACAGCTGTGTCTGCAGTGGTCCGCCGGCCCGAGAGAAGCTTCTGTCCTCCCGGCGCCCAACCCCGCTCCCTGGGCCTCGGTAGCCTCTGTACTGGCACTGACCCCGTCCTTGGCTCCCGTGCCTCAGCACTGAGGCTTCTGCCACCACCTGACAAGAAGTTACCGTGTTCCCCATACGCCCGGCATGTTGGCTGCCTGTGTGACAAGTCCGAGTGGGGATGTGGGCTGGGGGAGCGGACGCTGCCCCGCTGGGGGAGCGGACGCTGCCCCGCAGAGAAGTCAGCACAGCAGGGCTGCCCCCTGCGGGCCCCATGCCTACCCTCACCTGCCCAGAGAAGAGCCCAGAACGAAGGACACCGGTGACCCTGTCATCATCTTGGAGACAAAAGCCTGGGTCCATCCCTTCTCTGGGGCCTAAGTAGATGCTTATGGGTGCACTGCACCCCAGGCTCCCAGAGTGGGGAGACAGGAGGCCAGGGACGCTTCAGGACAATGGGAGGATAAGCAAGACAGGCAGGGAGCTGGGACGGTCCCCGAGTGGCCCTGTGGACAGGACCAGAAGCAAGCGGGCTGCCAGCCTTCTCCTGACAGGTGGGGACACTGAGGCCAGAGGCGGGGCCAGCAGTTGGCCACCAGATCCAGTTGACTTCCCAGCCCCTCCTGCCCTGCCCACCACCTCAGGCCATCCCTGTACCCTGCCGCTGTCCCTGCTGGCTGCCCCCTCTCATCACCGTTCTCTCTCCCTGCAGCTCCCCGAGGCTCCTGTGGCCGCCTGCTGCTTCCTCCTCCCGTGTGGGTGTGGATGAATGCTTGTGCCCATCTGAGTGTGCATGAGTGTGTGTGTGCGTGCATCCGATGCCCGCCGGCCTCTCTTCTCCCACAGGAGCCGACCCTCCAGGCCCCACCCTGCGCCCTCCGTCCCCTCTGCCCCCACAGGACTGGCCGAGCTGGTTTCTTCTTGTATCTCCTGTTTTCTCCCCTCTCTCTCTGCCCCTCCAGCGACCTAGACAGAGACTTTTGGAATAACAATGACAGCACAGTGCAGCAGAAATGGAGCTCCTACCCTCCCAAGGAGTTTATTCTAAACATTTCACCCTACGCCCCTTATGGCGACCCACGACTGTCCCTCAAGTGAGTGACTTTACCTGGCTTCACCCTCTGTCCAGTCTGCATACGCCCTCCCATCCCGCCTGCCCGTCCCCCTCCCATGGGCAGGCCGGCCATGGAGACGGGCAACCCTTCTGCCCAAGCAGGAGCCCCGCCCGCCGTCCCGCAGCAGGACGGTTGCCCGTTCTGGTCCCCACCGTGTGGCTGCTTCCTCCCCGCGTGCTGCCGCCGCCGTGGCTGCTGGTGGTGGTGGTGGTCGGTGCGTGGTGGTGTGGCGGTGGTGGTGGTGAGATCTCTGACTAACATGGCTTTCTCTCTCTCCCTGCCTGGGGCCTCCTGGCCTGGACAGCCCGCTCTTCCTCCGTCGTTAACCCTTCGTTGTCCTGTGGGATAGATGGAGGCGGCTGCCCTCCCCCACCCCCGCCGCCCCGGCCCAGGCGG